GAAAGAGAAATGAAAAAAGAAAGAAAGAAAGAAAGTTGGTGCTAACTTCAGCTACAGCTTTCACATCACTGGCCAGAACCGTGTTGTACGGCCACTCCTAACTGCAGGGAAGGGAAATGCAGTTCTTCAGTGGACCCACTGCTGCGCTAAAAAAATGAGATATTTGCTTTCTGTTGGAAAGAAATGGAGCTGGATCTTGGGAAGACAATTACAGCAGGCATGTACAAATAATGCACTCAGAAGGTATGTCCATGGGGGTACGAGAGAGAAGGTGGCGGAGGGGGTTGTGGGGTGGAGTAACTTGTAAACCTTTGGAATGAAGGAATGTATTTAGAACTTGATGAAAAGATCTAATGAGAGAGAGAGAGAGAGAGAGAGAGAGAGAGAGAAAGGATATATAAAAACCAAAAAAAGATAATTGAGAGTGTAATGTTCCTTAGAAGGAGGAAAGGGAAAATGAATCTAAATTAGGAAGGAGGGATGAACACTAAAAAGCAGTGCAGGTAAGCTCTTTTTTTTTTTTTGTCTTTTTGAGACAGGGTCTCGCTATGCAGTTCAGGCTGGTCTTGAGCTCACTTTGTAGCCCAGGCTGGTCTCGAACTCCCAACGACCCCCCTGCCCCAGCCTCCCGAGTGCTGGGGTTACAGGTGTGCACCATCACACCTGGCAGTAAGCTCTTTATTGTCATATACAGTAGTGTGTGTTTTTTCTGTTGAGAGGCAGGGCTTCCGTTTGCTCTGTGCTGTAGGCGGGGAGGTTGGTGTCGCCAGTGTGCAGGTAGGAAGGAGCGGTCAGAGACTTGAGAAGTCAGTCTGAAATAGCTGCGGTGGAGAGTGAGTGAGTCATCTGGTCTCAGAAATTTGGCAGGAAGCATTTCTATGATGCTAATTTTATGAACTGTCCTTTTCCCAAGTGGATCAGTGACTATCACAAAAGGCAACTGTCTTGAAGTACCTAATTGATAAAATCAAGCATTTGTTGAACATAATGAGTTTTCCATGCGCTCTCGATTCTGTTAAGTAGAAGTGTTTTATTGACCAGGGAAGGAAAGTTTAGTGACCCTTAATTGCTGCAGAAGTATCTTCATGGGGACTAAAGTATTATACAAAAATGAAAAAGCAGAACATCCAAGTATAAGCTGTATCACACACAGAATCCTCGGATTTCCAGATAGGGAAACATCTTTGACGTATATAATTGTATGTGAAGGGCACAGATATAAAGACAAATTAGAATAGAGTGAAACCATAATAATCACGAATTCTATAAAAGCTTTTATAAAACCATAATTCTCTTTCAGTACGCTCTTTTGCCCATGAAGAATATGGACTTTCTGCACTGGCATGCAGGTACGTAAACGGCTGCATCTTCTTACAGCCTAACAAGCTGCACTTCCACCCGAACCAGAAGAGGAAAGTCTGAAAGTGTCTCCTAATTAACAGCCGCGGTTGTATAACTGAGTCCCGCGAGATGCGTCCTTGGAGTTTGTGGAGAGTTATCCCGTCCCCTTGACAAAGGCTATGTGCTTCTAAAACTGAGAGATCCAGTTGCCTAGTGTTTTATTTGATTTTTTTTTGGGGGGGGGTGGTTTTTTTTTTCTGGTACCGGGAATCGAACTCATGACCTTGCGCTTGCCAGGCAGATGCTGTGCCACTGAGCTAAATCCGCAGCCCCTGCCTAGTGTTGTAAATGAGTGGTATCAAAATAAAAGTACATTAAGGGGGAAAAAAGGTAATTTTAATTTTTACTGACAGGATACAAAAAATAATAACCTTATTTTATTATTTATTTTTCGTACTACTAGGAACTGAACCCAAGAC